TTTTTTTCATTTCTCCATTATCTCATCAATATTTATTCTCTTCAAATTACATTACAAATATGAATTAGCTTAAAAAACAATATCCAAGTTATACTATATTTTCATCTTATATAGCCAGCTGGTGAGCCCTATGCAAACGTCGTTATCAGCACAGTTGATTATGACGATGCATTTCCAGAGATCACTACGCAATTTCTAGCTGAGGTGGATAGATCTGCACAAGAAAAAATAAATAGTGTATTAAAAGAAAGAGATCAGGTATCAGACCAAAATTGGGACTACAGCCAATATTTTACATATATATATATATGTATTCCGTCTTTCATATTTATTCATATATATTTATGTCCATTTAAATTTTCACTTCATGTACAGAAAAATATGACCAGGAGGTGGAGTTCTATAAACACAGCAACAGTCATAGATGTTGGTGATCCATTGTATCAATCGTCTCAACCGTCTTTTAGTTTAAAAATCTTAGATTTACCACCTACACCACCAGATAGAGTCTTGAACCCTGTCGATCACCAAACTGTAATTGTCGTTTCATATTTATTTAAATTAATTATTTATATTGCTCAATTCAAATCAATTGTTTTATCTCTTCAAGACGACTCGTATCAAGCATGACTTGGATAAAAGAAACGTAACACATGCGAAGCGAAGGAACATTGTCGAACCCACCAGCACTGTGATGGTTGTCTACCAACCGCCGGGTAACAAATCTTTCAGAAATTCCATTAAACGCACTAGGAGAGAGCAGAAAAAAACACCACTTTAAAGGTCTTGCCCATTGGATGTTGAATTCTGGCATGGTGCGTATACGAATCTCGACGTGGAGGAATACAAAGAATGGATTGCTAAGGGAATGCTCCAGCGACCTCGAAAAGTGGGAGACTGGTAATTGAATAAATACAAATACATCACAAGTTACTCGTTTATTTGTTGACTATCAGACAACGATTAATTAGAACATATGACTATATGACATTTTTTTTATTTCCTTTTGTTGGCCTGTACAGGTACAATTACTACGATTCTAGGACCGGATTCTTGAAAACTCCAATGGATTTCAATGTTGCTGCTGTTAAGGACAAGAACTGGTTTTACTACATTCATGAAACCAATATGTTTCTTGATAGTAGTGTAAGTATAATTTAATCAAAGTATATATTTTAACGTTATATAATTTAATATAACAAAATGATTTTTTTCCCTTTTTTTTGGGTTATTTTTAATTCTAGTTGTTTTGTTTCTTATTTGTAATATATCACAACACTTGGATGTATTGTTCTACTATTTGCCCAAGATCGGGTTGTACGGGAAAATGGTACCAGTGAGGTTCACAACGACCGATATCCTGTTTGACCAGCACATTAAGGCACTGTACAGTACCTCTTTAGAAAAATCGCGAAATCCCGGCGTATGCTCTGTTCAGGACATGATTACAGACTACATTTTAGGGTACAAGCTTATATGTGGAGTGTCATTATATGTGGAGTGTCATGGTTTGAAGTTGATCACGTTCTATTTCCAATGCATGTTGAACTTAATGGCACTGATCACTGGATTCTAGGGAGAATCTCTTTTGCCGACATGAGTTTTTTAATTTATAATTCATATCAATCTGTAGATTTTGACAAGGTCGTTCTAGAGAGTGCTCAGGCCTATTCTGAGATTCTGCCCATTTTTCTTCGTTTGGTGCACTTCTTCTACAAGAGGACTGATGCAAACACCAACGCGGGTGGACGCATCAAAACAGATGTGAACTCTCCTCTCGAAGTTACGGTTGCTTCTAACATCCCAAAGCAGATTAGCAGGTAATTTTTCATATGCGATCATGCTTTTTCAGTTTTTTATGTATATAACAGGTTTATATTTTTCACTACTAAACAAAAAGATTATTAGTATATTTTATGTATATAGTCCTGTACATGTGATATATCCATATATTTTCTGGTAATTGGTTTTATTTTTTTTTTGCAGTGATTGTGGTGTGTTCGTTGTGTCCTATGCTGAGCACTTCATAACCGATGTTGACCTTCCTGATAAGTACGATATCAATGTGGAGAGGCTTAGATACGCGTAATTGCTATATGCCCATGGAAAACTTATGAAAGAAAATGATTATGAGAGCGAGGATGAATCACTTGGCACAATGCTTGACGAAGTCCGTATCAGTTACTTGCAACGATTTTATAGTTATGTCGAACAATTTTATCGTTATTCAGTGTTTTCCTTTTGATGACATGTAGACGTTGTTTGCTCTTTTTTTTTGGGATCGATATTATCAGACTTGGTCAATATTATGAATGATTTTTTTCAACGTATGTTCTGAATGTAGCTTTACATTAAGGAATATATAATGGTATGCATACACGACAACTTACATATCAAATCATATTGTGATATATTCACAACTTAGTTGAGTTTATAACTATATAATGTCAAGAAAAAAAAAAAAGAAACAGTGAAGAACGTATTCTAGCAGTTTAATATACTCAATATATACTTATCATATACTCAGTTGATTTGTTGAAAAATAAATTTATCACTGCATCAAAATGTATAAAAAGGTTGAACGTGTATAAAAAATTACTTTAACAAATCTTTTGGAAATTGTATCACTTTATATACTCAACATATACAAAATATATTCAATTGATATGTAATTTAGATATGGTAATATGCCTTGATATCTAATATATCTAGTTGGTATAGTATATAGAATGGTATGCGTACAAAACACACCTCACAATAACACACTTCACAATAACACATCACAAGTATTATGTAATTTAAAGGGATAATACACAAAAGTACGGTTATACTATTAGTAAAAGAGAAAATCCATTCGGGTTTTTACATATATAAAGAAATGCCTTAAGATTTTTTTGGGTTCCGACAAGTTTTAACATTATGCACTTTCTCATTACATTTACTGTATCTATTTTTAGATCTATGCTCCCATCCCGACTTTAGCCGCTGTTTTCGTGGACGTCCAGGGCGGGCTCTTGAATCTGGTGGATGTACTCGTCCTGCTGTTGGCATTGTGTCACATCTGAATGGCTGGCTTCCTTCTGTTGGCATTACCGCTTCATCATATGTACTCAACATAGTTGATGTCAAGTAATAAGCTGAACAAAATGGGACAGGATCCAAATGTAATGATTTTATCACACAAATAGCAGCGGACAAGGGAGTTCCTCTATTTGAAATCGATGGCACGAGCAAGTCTTAGCGTCTATATCAACTACAAACGATTTACCATCAGCTACCACCTTGTACACACTGTCACTAACTTTCTGAACCTGTATAGAAAATATAAAAAAATAATAAACTTAATTGAATACAAAGGATATTATATATTTGGTATATATATAGTATATAATCTATGTGTTATTCAAGTACACTTACAGAAAATCTCGCTGATGCTTTGTAATTATTCTCCAACATATTATGAGGCTTCTTTGCAAGTGTAGTAAAAGTGGACTTTGCTTCATCTCTATTCGCCACATTCCACCGTTGTTGCATGTCTCTTAGCGTTTCTAATAGTGTTGTTATTGGGAGCTCACGTAGAGATATTATGGCAAAATTTATTGTTTCAGCTGCGTTAGAGGTCATGGTACAGTACCAGTTATTGGGACTGTGAACCCTTGCCCACTTGCGTATGCCAATTGTTGCTAGATGGTTACCACAGACGGATTCAACTTCTTCAATTGTGACCAATACTTATCAAATTTCTCTAATGTATAAGCTCTTGCCGCTGCGTTGAAAGTCTCCTTAACTGATTCAGCTTCGGTCTTAAAATGCATCTTGAGGTTGTTTGAAATGTGGTATGTACATAGACAATGCGCAGCTGTAGGAAAAACCTATAAAAAATACATATTGACACTTATTAACATTCATGTCGTAATAAAGTACAACATTTTTCTAAAACATACATGACATATATGAAACATATACTAGAAATATACACTTACCTTAGCTACAACGTGTTTTATGCTTTCATGTCCGTCTGAAACGATGCACAATCCATCTCTCTCACCAATAACTGATTTCATTTTCGTAAAGAACCAAGTGTATGCACGATTATTTTCCAAGTAAACAATGCTAAACGCAAGCGGTAAGATGTGAAAATTTGCATCCTGGCAACAAGCTGTCAATAAAATACCT